AACTGTAAGAATTGAAAAATAACTGTAGGAATTGAAAAATAACTGTCAAATGATGCGGGTGATGACTGAGTTGACAGAGAACTCTCCTAACTTTCACATCACGCCATTGCTAAAATTGTGATAACCTCAAGATCTAACGTGTGCAATGAGCCCCAACAGGTGTTAAATGATATCAGGATTGTACCCACGATTCGAATACAACAACGCCGGCTTTGAGCTCACAGCCATAATCATTTGGCCAAAGTGAATTATCTAATCATTTGACCGTGTCGAGTAACTGCACATTAAATCATGGAAGAGTTCATCTTCAATGTGGTCTTAGACCAAACATTCCTTTCATTACTATAAAACAGTGCTTCTCAAACTTTTAATATTTGCGACCCAGTATTCAATCCTAATTTTCATCGCACCCCCTCCATACATAACAATACATTGAATTCAGTAATATTATACCTTGACGCTGAAGCTACAATACGACTTGAACCTCTTAAGTGCCTCCGTCATATATAAACGTCTCAGTCAGCCAAAGCGTTAAATGCCTCGGACGTATATATACATCTTTCCGAACTACGATCTTCTCTGTGCATTGTTATCCATAAAATTATTCCGAAGGTTTTGGAATGTAATAAGAGGACCTTGGCAGTGTTTGCGAAGGATTTACTTATTTCAAAGAAGTTTTTATTTATTTACTCTTTTTCATTCCTCCCGCCGAATACATTACATACGCGCCCCTACGTGGAAAACAATGGCATTGGGAAGCGAATCCCGTAACTTCTAATCGGCAGTTTCGGGATTAATTATGAACCGTACAAATTATCACGATAAGTGTTGATTTTCATAAAACTTTTATATGACAAGCCCACACACACACACATAAGGTTACTGTTAATTATTAAACTTGCGTTCTTAACTTAGTATTGTTAAATTAATTATCAAATACTTTGCTTATATATCTGATACATTTACGATAAGTGTATAATATGAGAGCAAGTGTGTATTTTATATTTTATTATGTTAGAATGTATTTTGTTTGTTTACTTTCAGTAAATTAATAATTTTTGTTTAAATAATCTATTGTTTTCGACTTTTTGATATGCTCGCGTCCCCCTTGCTGGGTTATCACGCCCCCCACAATGGGGGCGCACCCCACAGTTTGAGAAACACGCTGCTATAAAACTAAAAAAAACCTCAACAATTCTTATTTTGATACTGAACCAACTACAATATTCTGTTTTTTCACAAAGAACCATATAGACAAAGGCATCGCCCACAAATTACAACTTGATCCTAAATGTAGATCTTCCCCCGATTCCCACGGAGTGTCATCTTCCGCTTCGCGTCCTTGGCGAAGATCATTTGCCGGACTATTTATCAAATCCCCTTTTTCCCCCTTCCCCATTTTTTACATTTATCGCTTGCTGATCGACGATCTGGTTCGAGGATCTTTTCTGACAGGTGTTATGGTAACAGAGGAGGAGAGAGTGCAGAAATCTGGCAAGCACACACACAGGATTGTAACACTCCCTCCCGTCAACACAGATACACAAGGTGGGTTGAGAATATTTTGTTTTATTATATTATAGCAGCAAATTCTTTTTTTTTACATACAATTATATATTACACACAATTATCTTTCTTTACATACAATTATTACATACAATTCTTTTTCTTTACATACAGCAATAAACCCCTCATTTATTACAAACTCCCTTTTATTTCGCGGAAATCAGAATTGAGGGAAAACAAAGTGCTTATCTATACAGCAGTTACGCATCCCATCAGAGGCGCACACAAGGGGGAGAGAGGGTCCCCGGATCCGGAACCCCCATAGTCCTTGAGGTTTTTCTATTGATTAAAATCCTATGTATATAGTAGGAAAACTTTAATTTTTGTTTTTGTTATTAATAATTAGTTTTATTAACTAATGCGAATTATTTAGTCAATAATTTTTAACTGTTTTTTGTTTTTTTGTTTCTGAAAAACAACAAAATCAAAAGAACATGTTGAGAGGCGTGTTGGAGCATGATACGAGAATGGTAGACTTTCGAATTTTGAAGATGTTTAGTTTTAAAAATACTCAGTTAAAAAAATAAATAAACTTAACTCTGGTGCAAATGGGCATTAGTGACCCACGCGCTAGTACTAAAAAAATATGAACGAAATTTGACCTACGTCTCAAAAAGGTTCGCCATCCCTGCCCTAGCACATAGCTCGGAGAAACCGAGCTGATTGATTGATTGTTTATTAACGTAACAGTTTAACAAGCTGATTGTTGGCGAAGGACCTCGTTACCTAAGTTTAAATAACTTGAACACTTGAGTTGTAATCCCACTCCTAACATCACGTTAAGTAGCTCTAAGAAAAAGGAAACATAGCTTCAATTTATTAAAATAAGCATTTACGTTTGAAATGGCTAGAAGTATCAGGTTCGAAGGCTTCGTTATGTGTGACACAAGAATTGATGCTTCTTCCCTGCAAATTTTTGAGAAATGCTTTATTTGAGGGGGTGTGTTTTGTTTCCATAACCCCTGCCTTTCCATATTCACATAAAAGAGTCTAATTGATAAATTAAAACTACACTGAGATTCTAACGTAATCGATCTAGGAATCAAAGTAAACAGAAAAGAAAATTAATAAATGTACAACAAATGTGCAAAGTCCACTTTTCAAAGATGGGAACATACACTTTGCAAATGTTTTCCATTGTCGAAAAGTTGAATCTGAACTCCATTCACCGTGAATAAAACTATAAAGCCCTTTATTTTTAAATATTAACTAAGTATCATGATCAAACGTCTAAACAAACGTCAATATCTGTCAAAAGATAGCACGATTTGTTACCTTAAGGTAAGTGCTTTTAAATTAAACACTACATCTTTCATTCGAAATTACGGAAACTTTTCACGTTTCCATTTATATCTGCATAATTAAACATTCATCAAACTAAATATTCGTCCCTAAAAATGCAGAATTTGTACTTTGTCCATCTAACAAACGCAAAATGAAAAAGAACATATGCAATTACTGCAACAAGGATATCTGTGGGCAGCAAACTTTAAACATCTGTCAAGAATGCAATCGCTAATTGAAATATTATTATACTTAAGATGCACTCATATGGTTAAAATAAAGGAAATATACTTCCTTTTAATTCGTAATCTGATTCGAATGATTAATTAACAAGTAAAAATGATTTAAATTTAGTTATTTAAAATGAAGGTACAATTTAAGCAATCCCCCCCCCCTTCCCATGAATTCATGAAATATCATAGAATGGTGATGAAACATTTAAAACAGCTATCCTCAACGGCAGTGGGAAAAAACAGGCTCCATTCTATCGCAAAATGCACAATTATGTCAAAAGATTAAAAATAGTGCTGAAGGCGTTACATTTGAGCGTTATTTTGACAGTTATTTTGAGAGACTAAGTAATAAGCAATATTTATGGATCAAAAATTGTTGTCAATATGTTATTTTATCTCTATATAATAAATATAAAAGGGATAATTGCCTCTGATGTAATGCAAAGGTATTACATCAGGCGAGGTGTACTTAAGGTAAACCAGCTTGGGGACATTTGGGGCAAAACATAAGGATTTTTCTGTAGCTGGAGGTATATCGTAGAACTTAGCCCTCTTGGGTCTTGATTTCCTCCTGTCTGATATGTGAAATAACGAGATATTTTACTTGGCCCATGAATTTATTTAAACTAAAATAAATTGTAGATTTATAAAATTACATTAAGATTAAAATAATTAAATATTATTTATAGTAGAATATTAAAGTAATAAGAATTTGACTGTCAGAGAGACTTAAAATAACTGAACCTTTTCTCTCGTCCAATTGGAGCAGGAATTAGTTTGGATGCCTGACCAATAGAGACGCAGCTTATAGTGACTCAGTCTGATGGAAGAATTTTAAGTGAGAAAAATGTTGAGAATTTGAGACAGGATATTTTAGCATTATTTATAAGTAAAAAAGAAGGAGGGGTCAAAATGCTGAACCTATCTTCATGTCTTTCTCATTATCAAAAATTTATTTCAAGTTTCCCAGAACAAAAACGACGCGCACACACACACAAAAAAAGCCTACAACAGCGGCCAAAGGGAGCTGATAAATTTTCAATCATTTTCCAGTTTTACGAGAAGAGTCATAAAAGTAAAACGTCGTGGAAGAAAGTAGTTTGAAAGAGGTTTTCGGGCACCCCCTAATCTTTTCAGGCTTTAACTTTTTCAAATAGTTAGTTGTCTGGTTTCTTTGGCAAGAAAATAAAAAGATTTCTAACAGAACTTATTTTGTAATTTTTTCCCCTTTTTTTCAGGGGGGGGGGGGGGTGCCTTATTTTTACAGGTGGGTAGGTACTTAAAAAAATGAAACCTGAATCAGACAATAAAAGAACCATCAGTTTTGAGTCCTTCAATTGTTGTTTCAGTTGAATCCTTTATTCATTCATAAAAACATATCACCATGCTTCGTAACCCAATATAGTAGGGTTTTACTGATCGAAGCATGCGCATGCACGGAGTTCTAGAACAGCATTTGTTTGTTTTCTACTGTAGGAATCGGTATTTACATGCAATGTTTAAGCAAATTTCCAGCACAGCATTTCTCATTACATAAAACCATTATGCCAGTGAATTCGGTTTTGTATAAGAGAATATAAACTTTTATGTATAACAGTTTTAGTAGTTTCACAAAAAGAAAAAGAAACAAGTAATAATAAAAAAAAAATAAGTCAATTCCTACTTAGGTCAACAAAGAAAAATTTTATTTTAGTTACTTTTTATTAAATAGTTACAGAATAAACATGTATATACATAGGACAAAATCATGATATTAAGTGACTAAATAGAAAGCGATTTTCCTTGCAATTTTCCATTTTCCTTTCTAAATAGGGTATTGGAATATTTTTTTGTGTTACTTACTCTTTATTCTCTCAGTAAATTTAATCATTCAAATAAAATAATTTAGTAAAAAAATCACATTCACAGAAATTATTCCATCCCAAGCGGGATTGGAGCCCACGACCTTCGGATTTTAAGTCCAACGCGCTATCCATTGCGCTATAGGAACACAAAGAATGATTTTCCTTTTTATATATGCTGTAAGACTATTATTTTCGTTTACAATTTATTCTCTTTTTAATTTAAATAATGAATTAATATTTGAAAAAACTGTATTAACATCAAGTATCATTCACTACAAGTTTAAAAGAATGTGTTTGAGCTTGAATAGATGAATAAATACATATATATATAACTGTAGGTTCTAGAACTTCTTCACTTTTATTTTATTATACTGTGTGTGTGTGTGTGTGTGTGTGTGTGTGTGTGTGTGTGT